CAATGAAGTTGTTCTGGAGGTAGAGGTAGTGGATGCGGGACGGGATGACGGGGACCTTCCGCAGGTTGCGGCTGTCACAGTAGAGGGCAGAGGGGAAGTCTGGGGGGCAGTAGCATTCTCGGGGGCAGTCGGGGAAGATGGAGGGGGGACCCGGCGGCAGGGGTGGAGGCAGCTCAGTGGGCTCCACAGGCTCAACACACTCCGTGGGCTCCACAGGCTCAACAAACTCGGGAGGCGGGCGGGTGGGTTTCCGGGGAGGCTTCCTCCGCTGCCCGCTCACCTCCGAGATCAGCACAAGAACAAGCGGGAGAAGCAATCTGAAGGCCACCTTCATGGTCCAGATGTTTCCCTGAGGGAGGCAACAAGCAGCAGTGGGTTAGGAAGTGCCCAGTTTAGGTACCACATCACCTCCCATCTCCCCCATCACTGACGGGCAAGAATTTACCCCACATCCCTGCCAATAACCTGCTATTTTCTCTCCTTCCCTTTGGAAGTTACCTTTAAAACCAACCCCTCTCTAGAGCTTGAGTCACTGAGATCCCCCCTCTCTGGCTCAGCTTTATGCCATGGCAGGGGGTGGGGGTGCCTTTTTTCATTTGGTTTGGGTTTTTTTTCGCATGCCACCCCCAGCACTGCCCTGCAGAGCCTGCCCCCCCCAGGAACCCCACCACCACTGTGCCCTCTCCCCAAAGGATGTATTGCCCCTTCAGAGACCTTGATGGATTAGGCTTAATTTTGCACTTGAGCCAAAAAGTCAATGATTCAGTAGCAAATTGGCTGAGCAACAGTATGGGGAGGCCAGCGGCAGTTAGCAGGGCAGCAAAGATGGATGGCCCTGTGCTTCAGGGACAAGGCGTTAATGCAGGACAGCCCATTTCAAAGGGGATGTGATAAAAAGAGCATTTGCAAGATTACGCCTGGGCAATACCGAAGGTGTTTACCTATTTGGCTCCCTGTGCTGCCCAAATAACCGATCCATCACCTCCAGTTCTGCTGCAAGGGTGCCGGGCTGGTTATTTGGGGGGAGTCCAAATTGATCTCTGGAGAGATCAATCTCTGCTTGCCCCTAGCCAGAGAGTTTCTCCTGGACACCAGCCCAACACCTCACACATACCATCTCTCCCACTTCTCTGGGTTGTTAGCAAGCCCATGAAGGCTGCCTGTCCCATCTCTGCCCTCCCTGCTGTTGCCTGGCACAGCAGCAATCATCCTTGCAAGACTGTTGCTGGTAGCTCTCCAGCTGATGCCTTGGAGGATGGAGGGATCCAGCTTGTTGCAGACGAGCTCCTCAGAGAGCCCCGTGCAGAAGGTGCTTTGGATGCTCCGACACTCCCCGGGGCCAGCTGGAGCAGACCAGGCTGCGGGCTTCCTGGGCAGACACCTCGCGGTGTTCGCCAGGCTCTTCCCAGCGGCATTTGTCACCCCAGCAGGAACAGAGCCGAGCTGGATGCACGGCGAGGCAGATGGAGGAGCTCGGCAGAGGCAGGGTGGGAAAGAGAATCAAGCGAGATGAGACAGGGAGGAAGAGGAGGAGAGTCGGAGGAGGATGGATCTCCTGGGAAGACGGAGCATCTGCTGTGGGAGCCGGTGCTGCTGGGACTGGAGCGCGGGGATGATGATGGAGAGAATCAGGCTCTCCCGGCTCATTGCTCTCTCCCTACAACACGAGGGCGTGGAGCTCGCAGCTC